CCCTAAACCCGAACTAAACTCTAGACCCTAAACCCTAACTAAGCCCTAAGCCCTAAATCCTAACTAAACCCTAAACCCTAGACCCTAAACCCTCAACCCTAAACCCTAACTAAACCCTAAACCCCCAAACCCTAAACCCTAAACCCTAACTAAACCCTAAACCCCCAAACCCTAAACCCTAAACCCTAACTAAACCCTAAACCCTAAACCCTTAGGTGAGGCTTCGGGTTGTCAGGACCCAGAGCCTCAGAACGAGAGCCCTTGAACAGTCCAGGACCGAGTTTTAGGGTTTTAGGGATCAGGGTTTAGGGTTTTAGGGTTTTAGGGATCAGGGTTTAGGGTTTTAGGGTTTTAGGGATCAGGGTTTTAGGGTTTTAGGGTTTTAGGGTTTAGGGTTTTAGGGTTTAGGGTTTTTGGGTGTAGGGTTTTAGGGTTTAGGGTTTATGTCTCAGAGTCTCAGAGTCTGAGAGTGTGTATGGGTAGTTCTCTAAATTAGGCTCCGGTTCTAGGCCTTACAAAAATTCGGGCCCTTTTAGGCCCCCACAACGGTACGGCACCCTTCACAAAAGGAGCCTAAAACGGATTCTACGCGATTCTAAGTTAGAGAACTACGCGTCTGGTCCTAGCGCCTTGGAACTCCTGTAGCCGCGCCTGAAATCCCATGAAGCCTTTATACTTTTCGGGTTTAGTTTGAAGAGTTTAGGGTTTAGGGTTGAAGAATTTTGGGGTTTAGGGTTGAAGAGTTTGGGGGTTTAGGTTGAAGAGTGTAGGGCTTAGAGTTGAAGAGTTCAGGGTTTATAAGTTTTAGGATTTAGGGCTCAGGGCTTAGGTTTCAGTGAAGTTCAGGCTTTAGGTTTTAGGGTGTTATGTGTAGGAGCTTCGGAACATAAGATAAATGTAGAATATAGAAACCTAAATATATGTTACCAATAGTATTCCTTAGGCTTCCTTTTTATAAATATATTTTCGAGGAGCCCAAAACCCTATTCTAGTTATTTAGCGCAGATTGGGTGCATTGCTGGCTTTTGGGTTAAGGGTTCAGGGTTTGGTGAAACACAGGGGCATGAGCATAATACATAGTTGAAATAGGCATTTGTAGTTCAGATTATGTACTATACAGTATACAGTTATGCTCTAAAGCCACGTTCGAATCAATATAATGAATTCTTGATTCTGGCCCCTAAACCCTAAACCCTATACTCTACTGCCCGGAACACTGTTGGAACAGCCCTGCGCGCAGGCTGTGGAGCTCCGTGCACAGCTCTCTGCAGCTCAGGCTACCGTTCCAGATGTGCTTAGGGGGCCCACAGGGTTTCGGGTTTAGGATTTGAGTTTAGGACTCAGGGTTCTAGGGTTTAGGGTTCTAGGGCCCTGGGGGTTTAGGGTTTAGGGTTTAGGGTTTGAGTTTGGACTGTATGGTTTGCGGCTTTGGGGTTGATTCATAAACGGCTCCTAAATGGAAGGATCCTGTAGTTGGACGATCTGGGTTGCTTTGAAGGGAATCAACACAAACAGGTTCTTTCGGCCCGTTCGATCCCTATGATGCTTTTGGAGTTGGAGGAGCTCTGCGCAACCGGATAACTGCCGCATGCGAAAAACCATGTTCAAGCGCATGGACATGAAGCAGATCCCTTCCTGGATGCGCTGGAAACCTAACAGCGCTCTGTTCGCCGTGCGCGCATGGGGCGGTCTGCTGTGGAAGCAGATCCACGCATGAATAATTGAAGTCGTTGCGATTGGGAGCTGCGGGCTGGACGGCGGCAAAGACCTCGTCCAGCAAATGTTCCAAAAAACGGGCTGCGAAAGGCATCGGCTTGGGATAAGAGCTTGCAGCAGAGGCTAGTCTAGCGGCCGTAGTAATTGTAATAGGGCGTTGAGGTGAACTCTAGAAATGACTTTGGAGACAGGGATACCAAAACCCAAAGGATCCTAGGGACTCACTTTTTTTGTGAATACTTCCCCAAATCATCTTAGAAAATCCAAATATAGAAATCCTCAGTCTTCCCTTTTCGGTTTAATAAAGGTGGTTAGAGGGAGAGTTCAGGGTTTAGGGAGAGTTTAGGGTTTAGGGTTTAAGATTAGGGATGGTATCAGCCCGGGAAAGCCTACTTAAGTTTCCGCTTCCTACGGTTTCGGGGTAAGGTGCGGAAGCATCTCTAAACACCGCTCCATGGGTCCCGAAAAAGATCCGGAGTTCGTATCCCCTCAACCCAAGAGAAAGGCTGTAGGGCTCAAGAGGATTCCTGGTACACCCCCCTTAACCTAATTAACCAGGCACACCTACGGCCCTCTGCTTCCAAGCCTCTAGCACCCTAAACCCTAAACCTACTGTTGATGATACAAATCCTGCACTCCATGGGAATTATGGCATATTCCTTATTCAGGGTAATGCAGTATGTATATAATCAACCGTAGCACCCCTAATCATGTCCAAGTAAGTTCTGGTACAATCCTGCAAAGCCGTCTTCTGACCTGTCCGACAACACTGGAAAGGCTTCCCCGCAACAACGCAAACCCTAGAAGCCCTGCAATCCCAAAGTACTATACAGGATTTGTGGGGGTTCCTTATTAGAAGTATAGTATAATGGGCCACAAAACCCTATTCTAATTATTAAGGCCCCTACATTATGAGTCCTGAGACCCCACACCCTAAGCCTAGAACCAAACCCCCTTGGAGGCCTAATCCCTGAACCCCAAACCCCAAACCAAACTAACCAAATCCTAAACCGTCTCCTATATAAGGTGCGAATCTCGGGTTTTGGTTGGAATGCTCTGGCAAAAATGTTCTCAACATAAATGAGCCCCGACTAATCCCGCTAGCCCTAAACCCTAAACCCTATAAGCCCTCAACCCTTTCAACCCTAAACCCTAAACCCTATAAGCCCTACACCCTAAAGCTTATAAACCCTAAAATCCTATGGACCCTAAACCCTATAAACCCTAGACCCTACACCCTCTAAAACCTAGACCCTATTAACCCTATAAGCCCTAAACCATCCAAACCCTAAACCCTAAGCCCTCCCCTAAGAAGCAGAAAGGCGCGTTTCGCGGCCACGAAACTGGAGAGCGATCGCCTTCGCAGGGAGCTCCCCGGGCCAAGGGATGAAGGCGCCTCTTTGCGTAGAGAGTTTAGAGTTTAGGGTTTTAGGGTTTTAGGGTTTTATTGTTAAGGGTTTAGGATTTAGGGTTTTAGGGTTTAGGATTTAGGGTTTTAGGGTTTAGGGTTTAGGGTTTTAGGGTTTATGGTTTAGGGTTTAGGGTTTTGGGCTTTAGGGTCAGGGTTCAGGGTTTGTGGTTTCGGTTTAGGGTTTAGGTTTTGAGGGTTTAGGCTTTAGGCCCAAATGTAGGGGTGTACAGTTCAGGGGGGTTTGGGGTTCATGAGTTTTGGGGTGCAGTGTAGGGGTGTACGGTTTGGGCCCTAACTTTGGGCTTTAAGGTTAAGAGTTTGCGGCCTAATCCATTTAGGGGCCTGGACAATTAGAACAAGGTTTTTGGAGTAAACGGTGGTGCAATGAAATGTGGCTATGAGAGGATAGTTTTCGAATATACTAACTTACTCAGAATATTCTGAGTTTCTTATAATATTACAGGACAGGCTTTGGGTGGGGTTGTGTAGGCTGGGACCCTACACCCTAAATTCTGAAACCTGGGTTGAATAGGCTGCTGAGGGCTTGGAGGACAAGCTTGGAGCTTGGGTTTAAGTTTAGGCTCTGGTTGGGGCTTATAAGTTCGGAAACTGATCGGAGTGGGTAAAAGAAGAACATGAAGTAAGGGCTCCTTGTAGGGGCGAGGTGATGCCCATGCGAATGTGGAGGAACATATTGTTTTGAAATTCCTCTTTTATTACTAAGAAGGGTCGGCTATTTCAGGAGAGCTTAGCTGCACCTAGGTAATTTTAACTTGGGATCCAGTAGGCGTTGTTTGCATGTACAGGGCGAAGCTTTTTGTTAGTCGGTGTGCAGGGTTTGGAAAGAAAGTACTTTGCTTTAGGATGAGCTGTGATGTTGACATGTTTTGTGCGTTTGAGGGTTTCGCTTGGCGGCGTGCATGTTTTATCTTGTCTAGTACTAGTTAGATGCATGTAGGCAGTGATGTGAACGGCTAGGGTAGGTGGATACAGGTTCAGAAGGACAAACCCTTAGACCAAAATGCTCGAGAAGACAACTCGATAGCAGATCCTATTTAAACCCTAAACCCTAA